AGGGGGGGGGGTGCAATTTGGAAAGTGATGAATAGAGAGCAGTGTCTCAAAGTGTTCTCTTCTGTTATAGTTTTCTTTTGAGGAGACGGGCGGGTTATCGCCTGTATGCTGAAATATTATTATGCAATGTACGAATACTTTTGATTCTTCTTCCCTTTCCCCTTCTTTTGCTGCTCCTCCTTTTCCCTCTTTCCTTCTCTTCCTGTACTCTCCCTCTCCTCCTCCCCCTCTTCCTCCCTCCCTCCCTCCCTCCCTCTTTCTCATCCTTTATTAATGCTGTTCTTCCTCTTTCTCTCCCTCTCTCTTTCTCTTTCTGTACTAATGCTGGTCTTCTTCCTCCTCCTCCTCCTCCTCCTCCTTTTCCTCCTCCCCTTCAATTGTGGCATTCAGGCTCATCCCCCACATCTTTGAGGTGATCGGGGCCTTTGAAATGACACAAAGCATGAGTGCCATTTTGCTCTTGATAAATCCCTGCCTTTTCAGAGAATGTTCATGTGTTATCCCTGACTTTGCAATTGCCAAATTGTATGTATATTTTACGGAGGGTACTATGGATCACAATTATTATCTGTATATTTTATGAAAGTTGCCATACAACTGAACAATAATAGTAATTGTGAAGCAGTAGGGGGAAATTAATTTGCTTAAACAATAATTAATATCATATAATGTGGACCTCTGTATCTGAGCATTTATTTTGCCATTCATGATTCTTAATACCATTTTGGGAAAACTTTTACCTGATTTAATTGAGGAAATGTTATATACTTACTTTACTTTATCCTTCCTCCGTCTTGTACTATCGTGAGTGTCGAAATCATATAAATAAATAAATGAATCTAGAAAATATTCTTCGTCTCTAACTGAGCATTGACGGAATACGGGTTGTTGTAGTTCAAAGTTGTTGCTGGGTGTCATTTGACCTCGGTGGTACTCATTGGAAGCGGTTTGGTAGGTGGGAATCATCAGTCTGAGTCTGAGAGTTTATTCAAAGCTATCGGGAACAGTCGAAATTATCCATGACAGACACCCCTTGTGGGTGGTTGGTGGGTGCTCTGGTGTGGTTTGCTTCTTCTCTCCTATCAAACATCTCTTGTCCTTATCTCTCCTACTTCTTTTTTTGTGTTTGTTACTCTCTTGTAACACCTCTAATTTTCGGCACTTATGTGACCTTATTGTGTTGCAAGTGCCGTAAAACACTTACTTAAACAAAGGACACACCTTGTTGAGGAGAAAAGTTTTTGTTTTAGACAGGAGGATGTCAAGTGTTTGTTTTAGACAGGAGGATGTCTAGTGTTTGTTTTAGACAGGAGGATGTCTAGTTTTTGTTTTAGACAGGAGGATGTCTAGTTTTTGTTTTAGACAGGAGGATGTCAAGTTTTTGTTTTAGACAGGAGGATGTCAAGTTTTTGTTTTAGACAGGAGGATGTCTAGTTTTTGTTTTAGACAGGAGGA